GTAGCACCAGCACCTCAAGTGCCAGCAGCTCCAGTACCTCCAGCACCTCCAGCACGAGCAGCACCACCGGCTCCGGCAGCTCCAGCACCTCCAGTACGAGCACCTCCAGGACCAGCAGCTCCAGCACCTCCATTACCTCCAGCTCTAGCAGCACTAGCACCTCCAGTGCCAGCAGCTCCAGCACCTCCAGCACCAGCTGTACCTCTAGGACTAGTAGGTCCAGCACCTCCAGCACCAGTAGCACCTCCAGGACTAGTAGCTCCGGCACCTCCAGCACCAGGAGCACCTCCAGTACCTCCAGGACTAGCAGCTCCAGTACCTCCAGGACCAGCAGCACTTCTAGTACCTCCAGCAGTACCCCCAGCACCTCCAGCACCTCCAGGAATAGCAGCTCCAACACCAGCAGGACCGTACCCTCCACCACCAGGACTGCCTCACCGAACAATCCACGCACGAATCGCCTGCGGCGAGAGCGTCTCAAGTAGATCAGGCTGCGGTGGCTGTCCAGCTCTAGGACCTCCAGCAGGGTCACCCACAGCTCCACCGCCACTAGGACTCGCAGTACCCCCAGAGTCAGCATCCCCAGTCACAGCACCCCCAGAACTACCACCCCCAGTCGCAGCACCCCCAGGCTCAGCACCCCCAGAACCCTCACCCTCTGTCTCAGCACCCCCAGGCTCAGCACCAGCAGTCTCAGCTCCAGAGTCCATAGCATCAGGCTGTGGAGGCGGCGAAGACGGCCGAGGCAGAAAACCAGGGGGGGTCTCCAAGCGTGGAGAGCGGCGAGTGGCCGCCGTGCCGTCAGCGGCGGGGTCACCCCTCTCAGCCGGGACAGAGGAGTCAGAAGAGGTCTCCAAAGGCTCAACCAAGGGGGGTGGGTCTACCTGAGACACACCTGAGGGAGCAGGATCGTGTGGGGGGAGGGGGTCTACCGGGGGGGGGGACTGGTACCAGGAAAAGAGGCGCTAGGGGGACCGGGTGGGTCGAATGCAGGAGTAGTCTATAGAAACAGACAGACTCGTCAAAGGTGACGTCTTGGGAGGAGAAGACTCGACGCGCGCGCGGGTGGTAGAACTGCCACGGCGGGGCGTCAGTGAGGAAGCCAGCGGAGAGTGCGAGAGGAGAGCTTGCTTGCTTTGGCATCGCGAACAAGGGAGAGCACGCCCCAGACCCAAAACACCGACGCATTGCCAACCTTCCCTGTCCACCGGAGTGTGGGCAAGGTCTTTGGCTCAGAGACACGGGGCCAGAGGTTGAGTTGATGCGCAGCGTATCGGACCGCAAACGGCCACAAAAAATGGGGAGCAACCACATGGATCATGGAGGTACGAGCAACCTCCATGATCAAGCCAACGCGACGCTCAGCAATCCCATTCTATTGAGGAGAGGCCGGAAGCGTGAACATCTGGCGAATGCCCTCGTCTCGTCAAAACTCCTCAAGGAGGCCAGAAGATAACTCACCGCCCCTGTTAGAGTGCAGACGCAGGACTGGCAAGTCCTGATGAAACTGCTCGTGTAGCTGGCGACGAGTAGCACGGATCCAGGGGATCAAAACACCGCTGACGTCTGCCTTGCGCTGCAAGGGGAAGACAGTGGTGTAGCGTGTGTAGTCGTCAACAACCAGCAGGAAGTAGCACTCCCGGTCCGTTCCACCAACGGGGGCCGGGCCCCACACGTCCATGTGGAGAGTCTGCAGAGGAGCAGTGGTCGGAGGAAACTCGGAGGAGTGAGGAGCAGCGCGCTGCCACCCCTCGATGCAAGGAAGGCAGGGCGGTGCAGGCGAGCGCGGGAGGGGGGGCAGGGACCTGGGAAGGCCAGAGACAAGGAGACGGGAGTGCATGCTGCGGAGACGCGGCAGCAAGGGGTGACCGAGGCGGTGGTGCCAGAGGAGAGTCTGGTGAGAGAGTACCCGACACGAGCAAGACGCTGCAAGATGACCAGACGCAGACACCCGACTCGACGCAGCCACCTGACCTGACTCAACCCCATAGTGCAGACGCAGTGGTCAGGGTGTACAGACCGGACCCAGGCTGACGAGTGAACGTAGCAAGGTGACGGCCAGTCCGTGAGCACTTACAGATTGCCACACGCTGTCCTCCAGGAATGAAGGTGTCAACCCATTCATCCTGGAGAACTGCGTTGCTCAACAAGTTCATCGAGAACGCAGGGAGGTGGAGACCTGAGAGAGACTTGGAGGGGACTGCCGGACACGGGAGGACAGCGGAGGCTCGCGCAACTACTGGGTCCCCAGTGGGGTCAGCAAGTGAGACTAGGACAGGTGCTGCGAGTGGTGTGATTGTGGTGCAATCACGAAAGAAGCAACGTGACGCGCCTGAGTCAAGCGTGAAAGTGTGCAAGGCCTCAGCTGAGGCAGGACCTGTGGCAATAGACACACTAGCACCTAGAGCGTCGGCAGACTCACGAGCACCTTGAGCTGCAGCAGACTCACTAGCACTTGGAGCGGCAGCAGACTCACTAGCACTCGCGAGCTGCAGGGCAGGGCGGCGCGCGGGCCTAAGGGCAGGGCAGCGCGATGCACGGGCTGCAGGGCAGCTGGGCGCGGGCTGCAGGGTAGGGTGGCGCGCGCTGGGCAGGGCAGCAGGGCGCGACTCGCAGGCTGCAGCAGGGCGCGACGTGCGGGGGGCAGGCAGTGCGAGTAGCTGCAGGGCAGCGCGACACTGTGCGAGCAGGGCCGGACAGTGCAAGGGCGCTTCGGGCAGGAACGAGCGGAACTATCGGTGGGCCATAAAAACTTAACAGGTTTCCTGCTCTGAATACCATGTCAGAATAACTGTGCAGGAATGATTGGATTAGCAAGAGTTGGGGTAAAAGTACTAACCCTAGAAGTGCTATACCCCATAAGGAGTGCCCCACTATAGCCTACAAGTAAGATTGTACTTTGACAATCATACCCTCCTTCACCACCTCCTCTCCCTTTCAGTCCTCCCTGACTCCCCCATTCCCTAGGGACGCGGTAAAAGTAGACAATCGATTCTCAGTCGCGATCGATGTGCGGATTGGTTACCCCGTTTACTACCTTGTAACCATACTACAGTTCGTTTTTTGGCCGAAAACCCTGCACAGCGAGGGGAGGCGACTGATTGTTGATTGCGGGAGATCACCCCAAAACTCAGGTGCGATCTTTACAACGTCGCGATCGCCACGTTTCGCGAATCGAGCTGCCCACTCGATTGTGGGGCTCGATATTTGCAGACGATCCTGCGATATTTGCACTTTTACCACGTCCTAATCACCTGCTCTGTGAAACCTACTCCCTGTGTCATTGAACACATTTACCATTTCAGCCAAATGTAAAATACCATTGAACACATTTACCATGTTTGTTAGCTACGATGTCGGAGATTCATGCCAAAATGTCTAGTGTTGCTATACCTGCAGGACACGGTACCATCGCCACGCAGAAGTCAGCTGTGGTAGATGCTGTGAAAGGAGCCAGACAAGCAGCAAAGGGTGCTTCGGCGATCCTAATGCAGTCGCTTCCTGCAGAACCTGTTGAGACTCGTCCATGGTTGGATCAAGTCAACAACTGCAAGGCTCCATTATCCTTGACAGCAATCAGTGCCGAGCCACAGGTGTTCCATGATTCCCATCGTTTCAATATCTGTGAGTGCTTATGTCAAATTGTAGCTTTCATTTCTTGGAGCAGCGAGAGAGCATTGCTTCCGATTCACGTGACACAGCGCTAGGTTCAGGATGCAGCAACAAGGACTGCTCGGGAAAGTCCAGCCAAGGTCTTGGAAATGGTGGCAGAAGTTTAAAACGAAATGATCGTTTTGGCACGGGAATCGCATTACTTTCGCACGTTGCAACATCATTAGCCCCAGATGCAACAGCATCAGCAGCAGCAGAGAGTGGAAATGCACGTGCTGACAGGGCAGGAGCAATAGTGGAGCCATATCCATGCACAACTGTACCTGAAGAGACGCATCTGCCTGCATCTCCTTCTGTCAGGCATCATGTGGCTCGCCATCGCTTCAGCGTCACACATGCATCATCCTCCACACTCCCAACGTTCCCTCTGTCTCACCCGTCTTGCAATACTGCAAATGCAACTTCGCCCACGCACATACCTGCAGAACTTCCAAAATCTTCGCTGATTCCAGTCTCTGGTTCTGCTGCTGGAGAAGCATTTGCTGTTGAATACACTTCGGCTGGAGGCTCATCTGCTGGCCACGCATCTGCTGGCAGTATGTCTGCTCCAATCGGAGCTCCTTCCCTGGCTCCGCCCCTCCCACTGTCATTGCAGCTGCCTAGCCCAACCATCATCTCATCAGCCTTCGCTCCTGCAACTCCATCTTCACCGCGATCCTCCCCGCTAATCCCATCCGCTCGTTCAAATACTCCTGCTTCAGCTTCTGTGCCACTCGCACTTTCACCTCCTCCTCTTGGCTCCACTCCCTTGGCGCCTCTTCCTGCCTCCACTCGCCCCAACCCTTGTCTGTGCTGTTGCCACTGTCAGCCCAAGCAGCAGCAGCAGCAGCAGCAGGCAGCAGTCACACATGACACGTGTTATCCACTGCAGGGCGAGGCTGTTGAATAGTAAGAGTAGGGCCTAGGCTTAGTAGCCTAGGCCAAAGGGAGTCGAGAGAGTTTGTGCCAAGCAGAGAGGATGAAGTTCACTATAGCACTAGGGTACATATAGCAAACAAAGGATGCAAAGAAGGTGCACCACCAACAAGTTTATAATAACTACACTAACTACAGCTACAGGCAGTTACAGATATATTCTAACAGAGGCACCTCTCACCTACATGAATGGCACCAATCTCAACAGCTGCATTCTCTACAGCAATGCTCCCAAGGCCAGTGGCAGCCACGCACCACTTATTCCACCAACTCTACCTCCTACGGCGCCTGCTGGAATTCCCGGTTCCACATTGCTATCCCTTAAAGCGGCTACGCAGAGTACTAGACATCATCCAGTGCCGCTGCCGTTTCTGCCCACGACATCGCCATCCTGTTTCTCTGCCAGGGTCAGCATGAATGCTGCTGGCGCTGTTGTTCCATGCACTGCAGATGGGGCACCTTCAGCTGCTGCCGCATCTTCAGCAGCTCGTCCAGAGGAAAACAAGAGCTCTGCAGTGGTGAGCATTGAAGGGAGCGTCTGGAGGCTTAAGAAAAGCGGCGCAACACAATTCCAGCAGCAGCTTTTGGGTTTCCAGACCCAGGAGGAGCAACTGCAGCAGCAGTCACGGCAGTCAAGGCAACCAGTCGCCCGACAGCTGCAGCAGCTGCCACTTCCTTCATCTCTTCCCGGGAAGCACCAGGCACAGGGGTCAACGCAGCAAGCACCACTCCACTGCTTGCTACTGAAGCGGGGAAACCAGCAGAAGGAGGAGTGGCAGCAGGATGTGGTTCGCGGGGCAGCAGGTGCTGCCATTATTGGCGGTGAACCCTATCCTGCCGCTATTCCTCCTCTGCTTCCATGTCCCACGCTTCCAGAAGGGCATAATCCCTCTGTGCCCCCTGCATTCCTTGGGAAATCCAATTCCAATTATAGTAGAACAGGGCCACTACCAAAGCTCGTGCCTTTTATACTTCCAGCCATTGCCAATGGTAAGGCCAGTGCTCCTGTAGCATCCCTGGCACAGTGCAGTGCAGTCCTCTGACTCTGTCAGCTAAAATGGCAACGGCTCCAGCATCTGTTCAACAAAAGACGGCATCACCACAGCCACTTCTTCGGCACGCAGAGTTTTTTTCCTACTCAACAAGTAACAGCGGCAGCATTGTCTGCAATGGAGGCAGCTTATGCTTGTCAGAATGCGAAGCCAACAACTTTCCAAGAGCAGGCATGTGTTCACTTGAGCAACTCTTCGGAAATTAGCCGCTCTGACAGCCTTTGACGTGCTACATTTTCAGTGTATCTGGCCCTGACAACAGCAATTATCAACCATAGAGCAATGCTGTATTGGCAGCTGGAAGATGTATTACCTATGAGTTGCTGTATGTTAAGGGTTGCTGTATTACACAGTCGCTGATTTCTTTATACGAGGTGTTTTTGTTCATTGCCTGCCAACGTTCAGGAATCGTGGCCGTGAATGTCGTGGCGTGAAGCTGTACGGAAATGGCATCACATCAAGTCCCAAGGGTAAATATTTCTTGGGTATTCCTGGTCTAGGGGTCGGAAATTGTTTTGTGCGTATTGAAAACAAGCCGACTTATTTTTTTAGATAACGTGTTCAGTTTGAGTGGTTACTTCAGCTTTGGAACCTAGAGGCTCGAAGCGTCAGTGAGTGCCAGAATGAACCCTTCTTTGTTTTTGGCATTTTCATGTCTGCAACCCTTCGAAATTGCGTTACATTCTTTGGTACAGAATTTTCTCGGGCTGACCGCAGTATGACCAGAAGATTTGGAATCGAAGTTTCACAATCATCAGCGCAATGTACGGAGTTCGCTTCGGCCCGCGAATTTCAAACCGCCTATCAACATTTCGCGCCTCCAAAATACAATTCGCGCCACCCCGAGGCATTCAAATGTGGACGTTCGGGAATTTGGTCTTCACGCTTCTTTATCACACAGTCTTCCCAACCATCCCCTCCTCTCATCACCTCCCGCCCGTTCTTGTTGCACGCTTCGCAAGCCTCAACGCCTGTTGATGTTCCGCTGTTCAGTCTCTCATCCTCCATGTGCTCACGCTTGATCTCATTTTCCCAACGGAAGTCTCGGATCTCTCATCGCCACCACTGCTTATACTCGAACCTCCACGGCTCGCGGCGCGCAGCACACCTTAGTAGCGTTTGACACTTTAACTCGTCTGAACGGCGAGGCGCCATTGACGGTGCCCGCCGCCGTCATGCACGCTGCCTAGCCTCGAGCAGATAATGTATCCGCTCATAGCTTCATTCACAGCACAGCCATTAGCACAGCCCTTAGCGCAGCCCTTAGCACGGCCACTAGAACAGCGACTAGCACAACCAGTAGCACAGCTAGCACAGAGATACGAAGGGTCCGTGCAACCGGAATGGGGACGAAAGCCTCTTAGCGTAAACTGTAGCTCGCCCGACTCGGTTCTGCAGACTAGCTGCTTCGACCGCACCGCGGGTTCTGACTCGGACGACAGCTTATCCCCCTCTGTTTTCGAGGCGCCTAAAAAACACACCGCGGGTTCTGACTCGAACGACACCCCGTCACCCTCCATTTTCACTGAAGATCTTCCTATGAGGTTCGCTACGTGATTACATCTTCTCTACATCATAATCGGTGCTGGATTAACGTTTTAGGCTTGTGATCCGTACTGTACGCGCTACACCTCCTTGTCCACAACTGAATATTTTAATATGCTATAGCGTTTCCCCTCATCTCAATACCTATGCCGCTTCGTTCCCCTCCCCCTGCATTCCTTCGGCTGACTAATTCCTTCCCACCCACTCCCCTTTTTCTCCCGCTCCCTCCCTTCCCACGGTGCACGCTCCATTCCCCGCAACCCATCGTTTCCCCCCTCCTGCTGCAGCCACCGGTATTCCCGAGGCGACTCCCCCGGTTCAGGGCCCACCACGCCTGGCAACAGTACCTCCAAAATTCACGCGCTTCTATCGACCAATCGATCAGGCTCGGGATCCAGCCGAACCTCAGGCTCGTTCCCGAAGCGCCACGTCAGCACGGGGGCTGCGGGTAACCGGAACAGCGCGCCGCTCCAAGCCGCGGATGCCGGCGTCAACGCGGACGGCGTGCGCGTTCAGCTGTTCCCCGATGGAGGCTGCGCGGGTGGGCGCGCAGAAGGTTGCGCGGATGGGGGAGCGGAAGGTTGGGCGGACTTTTCTGCGTGGGAGAGTGGAAACGGGAGAGGGGTCAGTGGAGAGGGGGCTAAGGAGAATGGAAGGGGCGTAAGCGCGGAACTGAAGCCGCCCTCCCCGCGCCTTCACGCGCAGCATTCTCCGCGCCCCCGGCCGCCTTCCCCCCGCTCCGCGTCTCCCCGCTCTGCGCAGCAAAACTCCCTGCAGATCGGCGTGCGCCGTCTCCCCTCCCCTGCCGTCGGTCCCCCCGCGCTCCGCGAGGATCCCCGCGGGCGCGCGCGGAGCCTCGGCGTGGTTGCGGGTGGCGGCGGGGTTGGCGGAAACGGGGTGACCACCCTCTCGCCGCGTCCACGTGGCAGCAGCTTATTGGTTACGCCGCTTGACGTCAGCACGATCAAGCCCGGTGGGGTTCAAACGAATGGATTGTCGTCGCCACGTCAGCTTGACGGCAGCGGGTATGTAACGCCACCTCAGCAGGACGTCATCGACTGGGACAGCGCGAGCGGCGGAAGCGGCGGGATTCCCTTCGGCGAGGAGAACCTGGTTGCAGCGGCGGCGGCGGCGGCGGCGACGGTTGCGGCGGCCAATGCTGGTGACGAAATTCCTTACAGCGCGTATTACGGTACTAATGGCGCCGCTTCTGCTTCTGCGGCTGCGCCCAACGGATACGTACCCGCTCCCACGACACTGCCGGCGCGTAGGCCTAGTATCGGGTCGCGCCATACCGGATCATTAAACGCGCTGAAACACGTCCCGCAACTGCAGCAACTGCAAAAGCAGCAGCAACAGCCTCACGACTCGCACGAGCAGCAGCACCGTATTCATCGCTCCGTTTCGCTCGGCGCTGCTGCGTTGGCAGCCGCTGATTGGCTGCGCTCCCCCGCGGGGGCAGCTCGGCGCGGAAGCGGCTCCCCTTCCGCCGTGCATCCGCTCCCGCCGCCCCGCACCACAACCATCGGCGTCACTGGCGCAGGCGCGGCAATAGGAGACCAGCGCGCGGAAGCTCTGGGCGGAGGGGCGCGCGGAACTGCGGCGGAGGAGGGGTATGACGAGGCGTTGGCGGAAGGGACGGGGGATGTTCTGCGGAGCCGCGTCCGCCGGGCTAATAACGCGGACGACAACAATGATAACGACGATGGCCCCGTTATAATGACGTGCAGGTTGTTTCCGAGGAGGAGCACGTCGCGTACGTCTCTTAACGGAGGTGGCAGTAGCGCGGACAGCGTGAGCGGAGGGAGCGTGCGTGAAGGGAAAGACGACAAGTACAGCAGGAAACCGAAACGAAGCATCTCTTGGGGAGGATGGATGAAGGCAGGGGGAAGCGGAGGGGGAAAGGAAGCAGAGAAAGGGGGAGGAGGAGTAGCGAAGGCTGGTGTGGTTGGTACCTTTGGTGTAACAAGCAACAATGGGGGGGAAAGGAGTGGATATAAGCCTGACGCTCAGCAGAAATCGGCCCTCAACGGGCGGAGCGAAGAGGTTCTTAACGCGTACAAGACCCTGACTCAGCAATCCGCCACGTGGAACCAGCTCAACGCCGGCAATGACGTCACACCTGGTGTTGCTGGTGTCACGGTACCGCCCACCCCTGCTCCTGGTGCTGCTGCTGCCGAGGCTGCTGCTATCGCCGAAGCAAGCGCCCGAGCCTGCCGGCTAGCCTTGGCAGCGGAGTCCGAAGCAGCAGTGAGCTTCTCTCAAGCTATAAGCTTTGCAGGTTCGGTAAGCACGTCGCAGCAATGCGGGTCCCACACTCACTCTCACTCTCGCAAACACTCCCCTCCAGTTAACTTCGGTTGGCCGTTGAAACACGACGAAGTGCGTCGAGAGAGCAAAAAGAAGATCCGCGCAAAGAAAGAGAGAGGGGGGGACGGATCGGGGGGAGAGCGGAGGGTCGAGGAGAGAGGGAAGGGAGAATCAGGGGTAAGAGAGAAGGCAGAGGAGAGAGAGGGAAGCAGAGCATCCCAAGGGAGGGTAAATCAGGAAGGAGCTCAAGGCAAGCAAGAGAAGCGGCCTCAACAAGAGGAGGAGGAGGAGAAGAAAGGAGGTACCGAGGTGCTGGGGGAGGTGCAGTGGCAGCAGGAGCAACGGGAGCGAGTGCCCGGGGAAAACCAGCAGGGAGACGGACAGAGAGCAGCAGAGGCAGCAAAGCGAGCAGCAACACGTTTTTCAGCAGCAGAAGCGGTGGCAGCAGCAAGGGGGGCGCGATTGGAAGCGGTGGGGAGCGCTGTGAGGGCAGCGAGAGCGGCAGTGGAGCAGGGGGCGCTTGAAGGTGCGAATGTGGCAACTCTGGTGGGGCACTACAATTCACTGCTGCACCTGCAGGAGCAGATGGAACGACAGGAGAAGGCAGAGATGAAGGAGAGGGAAGAAGAGGAGAGGGAAGAAGAGGAGAGGGAAGAGGAGGAGGAGGGAGCTGCAGCCTCATCGCTGCCAGGGCTGCAACAACAGATGGCAGTGTCGCATGCCAGGGCTGCTCTAGTGGCATCACAGCAGTCGCCACTAGAGCAGCCGCAACCTCACGAGAAGAGTGGCAGTAGGGCGAGAACCCAGCAGCAGCAACCGCACCAGATGCAACAGCGAGAGAGGCAGGGACAGCAGCAGCAGCAGCAGCAGCAGCAGGATCAGCTGAGTCTGGGGCCCCTTAGGCAGGGGCGGGTGCGGAGTGGTGAAGAGAGAGGGCGCAGTGGCGACGAGAGAGGGCGCAATGAGGAAGGGAGAGGGCACAGTCAGGCCCTTCCTCGACGATCCCGTTCTCTCACTGTCGCCAACTCAGCATCTGCATCGTTCAAGGGACGGCCAGGATCGTCCGCACACGCAACAGAGCAGAACCCGCTTCGCTCTCTCCTCCACGCGAAGCCACCGTCGCCAACAGCAGCCGCACCGGGCCGCACCATCCAGCACCGCATTCAACCATGTTCAACCACCGCACGGTCAGTGACAGCAGGCGCGGCAGCAGCAGCAGTGCAGCCGGCAGTGTTGGTGTCAGAGTTATCAGCATCAGCGTCTGCAGTGTCTGCCTCTCTGGGTTCCCTTGCGTCCCTCGCTCCCCCCTCGCCCCGCTCTCGACACTCCACATGCAAAGGAGGCAGCAGTAGTCTGTACCACCACCTGCATCGCCAGCAGCAGCAGCAGCAGAAGGAAGGTCACCACACACGCAGTGTGCTGGCCCGAGTTTCTCCCATTGGTTCCTCCTCCTCCTCTTTCTCCGCACCAGGACGCGCTGGTCTCACTGCTGCTCACGCTGCTCCTGCTGGAGCGAGAGGCCTCACCCCTACACACTCTTCTTCCGCTTCTGCTGCTAGTGCCACTGCTGCTGGTGCTGCTGCTGGTGCGGGGGTGCCTGCATGGAAGAGAGCAGTAGCAAGGGAAGACACTATAAGCCACACTCTGGGCAGCAGCACAGCAGCACTCACAGCGCCATCGGCTGCAGCAGCAGAAGCGGCGGCAGCAGCAGAAGCAGCAGCAGCAGCAGCGGCGGCGGCGGCGGCAGCAGGTGGAGGTGAGTATGGGGCGGTGAGGGACGGCGTGACAGACGGTGAGTGGTGCATGAGTGAGTCGTCTCTCAACGCCAGTGCCACTGTCAGTGCCAGCCTGGCTTCCAGCTTGGACTCAAAACCAGGGGAGGAGGGGGGGAGTGATTGCGCCTCTCACAGCTGCTCTGTGGGCTGCGGTGGTGAGGCACAGGGGCGTGAGGAGAGTGGGTGTGACTACGTGAGTTATGGTGGGGAGGGCAGGGGGAGTGAGGGGTGTGGAGAGGAGGTTTTGGAGGGGAGCTGGGCGGAGTCTAGAGTGAGAGGTTTCGGAGAGGGCGAGAGAGAGAGGGAGGAGAGAGAGAGGGAGGAGGAGGAGGAGGAGGAGGAGGAGGAGGAGGAGGAGGAGGAGGAGGAGGAGGAGGAGGAGGAGGGAGAGAGGAGGGGAGAGGAGCAAGGAGGGATAGAAGAGGAAGATGAGGAGAGGGAAGGTGAGGAGGAGCAGCATGACTACATTATGACGCTGGACCAACACCACACAGAAGCCATTTCTCATACCGATGCTGAAGGCTTGTTTGGAGCAGCCCTGAGCCCTCTCACGTATGCCATGTCAAATTTGCCCATTCAGCAGCAGCAGCTGCTGTGGCTGGATCAGTTGCAGCAGCAGCAGCAGCAGCAGCAGCAGCAGCAGCAGCAGCAGCAGCAGCAGCAGCAGCTGCAAGAGCAGGGAATGCTGCCTTTACCACCAGGTACACTGGACTACCCTACTCATTCTACCAACCCGTTTCTTGAGGTGATTAGAAAGGAGGTGGTTAAAGAGGAGGAGGTGGAGAAATTAGATGGGTACGAAGGGGTTCAGGCGAGAAATGGTCGAAGCCCGTATTCCAGTGATGGCACGACGAGCAGGAGCAGCAATATCAACAACAGCAGCAGCAGCAGCAGCAGCAGCAGTAGCAGCGTCAGCAGTGGTGGGAGTATAATTGGCAGCAGTGGGAACCACGAGGAGTATGGGAGGAATAACAGCAATGGCCACTTGGAGGAGGGTGTTCCTGTTTTCCATACAAAGGGCTTTGATTCACCAAGGGGCAACACTGCAGATGGGTTCAGTGATATAGGGGCTGCTAACAGAGGAGACACACGAGCACTTCAGTCACAGGTTGAGAAGAATGCAGTTGGCTCGACGAGACCTCGACGGGTTTCTTTTAACCGTGTGGTGCGTGTACGAACGTTCACTCGTGTTGCTGCCACGTCCGACACATGTGACCATTCATAATTATTTGTTGTGACTAATTCGTACCATGCGTGTTCTGACTTGTTGAGTGTGAACAATAAACAAATATAATTTTACATTTATTATTAGCATATTGCAGGTGGAAGCAGGAATTTGAGTGATGGTGCTAGGCATTTGCATTGATGCCCTGCTTCCCTTTTTATGTTCCACTGGTTACATGATTTTTAGTTGACGTTTCTAAAAGGCACAAAACGTGCTGGTATCTTGCTTGTTATCGCAGTATGTTCGTACTGAATATTGAAGTAAACAGAAGGTACATCGTGCTGCCGTGGCGCGTCGGGAATGGTGAATCCGGAAGCGCGCGCAGTTGTAGGTTACACCCGGTGGAGGCAGGTTGATAAGCCACTTCCTTTCAGATTTTTATCGCGGTCTGATTGGCGGTAACCCATGACCCCCGCACTTCCCGGCGCCCACGATGGCCATAAATCGTTCATATTTTTTTTCGACACCATCGAAAGAAAATTTATGTACACGTTTTGTTGTTTTCTTTTTGAATTTTGCATGTATGTATGGGTCCAAACCCAGCGCTTCATCTCAGGGTCTTATACAACTAGCACCAACACATCCATCATGCACAAACGCACTTCTGCATGGCTGAACTACATCCAAACATCGTAAAACATGTATTCGGTCACCCTGACAGTTGAAGGGCGACAAAAAACGGATAATAGAAAACTGTGCACCCCCACCGAGCCTCCGCCAAAATTTACTCAAGTTTCGAGTCGCGCATTCCCGTCCTTCCCTCCCCACTCCGGAGTTGATGCTTCCATCCATCTCGTGCCTGGGCATCGGCCCCGACTCGGGCCCATCCCCATCACATTTCCGCCAAAGCCGAGAATTTCAGCAGCAGACTTCACCAGTGGCGCGTGCTAGCAGCCTTTTGTCTCGTGCATTCATTCACTCAGTCCAAATTAGGTGCGAAAACTTCAAGAGTAGTAGTAGCTCCACCACTTCCGTTCCAAAACGACCAGGCATCTTCCTAGCACATTGCACGTTGCCACCCTCGCCGGAATTCCAAACAGATACGAGATTCGTCGGCTTGTCATCTCAACACCTCCACCTACCAGAGCTTGCCTCCTCACTTCGTTGCGGTGCTAAGGACTGCTACCCAAGATAATAAATCCTTCACCTTGGTTTGTTCTCGCCACCCAGTCTTCGTTCTAGACGTTTTTTGCGCGCTTCTTCGCTTCGTCTAGAACCCATTGGCCTTCGACAGGAAATATAGCAGAAAGGCAGCAAAGCGTTTGCAACCCCATGATAGACGAGAGACAATGAGTGCACGCAAGTCACCATCGCAAATACTGCATTCGAAAGGTCACATATCCAAACTCCTTATAATCGCCGCGCTTCTTTTCTCCACAGCTGCAACAGTCACCAGTACCGCACCGCCCGCGACGTCGCCTAGCGATGAGGAGATTGTTACTCAGCGACGTTCACTTCCAGTCACCCCAGAGGAAGAGAACGACGCGAACCGGAATGAAGGGACAATCCATAAGGGTGAGTCGGGTCTCGGCCAGTCGCTGAGCGCCACTTGGCATCGCAACCGCCTGCACGTGCTGGACGCGCCCACGAATGGCGCCCTAACCAAGCTGGGATTTTCGGAAGTGACTTCGCGTGATTCGTCAAGTCTTGACCAGCTTGACCCTGTTGACCATATGCAACCATCTACGGCTTATCAACTCGCAAGCGATGGCTTGACGGCTGGGATTGCGTCTCGTGAGCTGACGCAAGGAAAGGTCGCCGGATCGAGTCCTGGTGGCGCAAACTTGGTTGCTGAGGTAGCAGCAATGGAGGAGGAGGACGAGAAAAGGGCGGTGGGGGAAACACAGGAGGAGGCTTTGTACCGACAACAGCAGGAGCAGCAGGAGCAGGAGGAGCGGGAGGTGGGGGGGGTGGGAAGCGAGCTGCTGCCTGTGCGGGACGCGTGCGTGTTCGACGTCGCGCGGGGTCAGTTTGTGGTCGTCGAACAAGCGACACGTACACAGTATGTACTAGGCGCGTCGCGACAAGACGACAGAAAACACCCACCGTTTCCCGTCTCAGTCGTGCACAGCCGTTTCCGAATGCACGCCGTCGAAAGTGTCGGTAAATTTTGATATAACATTTTTCCGTCCCCATCTCCGATACCCTCCTGCAGGGGCTTCCGTTTCACCGCCGCCGACGCGTGGCGCCCCGCAACGGGTATGCGGCGGAGAACTGGCGATTGCCGTTTCGCTGTCGACGACACATGCGCGATCGTGCACGCAGGTAACATGACACGCGCAGGATTACAGCTAGCCGTTTTTTCCTTTACTTCGTCACGAGCAACACATCACATGCACCCTTTTTTTCCCATCCCATCATTCTCAGTTTTCCTCTCCTCCGGCTTTTCTTCCCCCCACCCTCTTGAACCCTCTCGTTCTCTTCCTCATTAGGCGGTTGCGACGACGGGGACCTTCGCACGAGCGACGAGTGCGACTGGAACGGCGCGTCGTTCACTATCGCACACGGTGGTGCGATTGAAGCCGAGATCGACGGGGCAACGGTGGAAGCCCCCGCATGGCCCTGTGCGCCCTTCCCCCGTTGCCTGTTCTCCGCCGCCGCTTGCACGCACACCGTAATCGCGGAAGATGTTGCACCACCGCAGCAGCACAGCCAAGCTGCGACTCTCTACGTAGCCGCGGCCGCTGCGGCTTCCGCCCGTGACGCTCGCGCAGACTCCGCCGCCTCTTACGCCGCCAGTTCTGCCGAGAAGCGCGCGGCGGCGTTTAGAAAGAGCGAGGGGGAGTGGAGCACGAATGGCGCTCTCCACGCGCGGTCTCTGGGGAGCTTCTTCCCCGGCGGAGAGGAGGCTGTGGGCGCAAATGGCGGAGCAGGAAGCGGAAGCGGAGGAGGAGGGGGAGGGAATACATTTTCTGGCGGGGGGCAGGCATGGGTTAAGCAACACGAGGGAGTGGGGGGCGGAGAAGCGGGGAGTACGGGCAAGGGCGGGAATGGAGGAATGAAGAGCGCGGTGGGTGCAGGGGACGGGATGAAGGGGCGGGCGCAAGTCGGGAGCGGAATGGCGGGAATGGCTAAAGACGGGGAAGCGTCGCTGCAGGCAAGCCAAAGCGGGGGCGCAGGGAGTGCGGCCGGCGGGGGAGGGAGTGAAAGCGGGTTTAAGCGGACAATGGGCGGGTGGGGAGGCTCTGGGGGAAGCGGAGGGGGAGGCGCAAGAGGCGGGGACGCCTCGAGCGCGGGAAGAGGAGGGGGAGCATTCAAAAACAGCTCGATGAACGCGGGGACGGCGGAGCTGACAAGCGGCGCTGGTTTCCCCAGCAACGGCCAAACGTCCAGATTCAAATCCGCGGGTCCCGGCAGCGGGAACAGCCAGACCAATCAGCCGCAGCCACGTCAGCAGCAGCAGCAGCAGCCGAGTCAGCAGTTGGTATACAGCAGGCAGCAAGCTCCGGCAGGTGGCAACCAGATGAAAACGCGACTGCCGGGCACGGGCGGCGGAAGCAGGAGCGGCGGCGGCAGCACCGGTGGCGGAGGAGGGTCGAGGCCCAAACCCGTATTTTCCGGGCGCAACGGCTTCAAGGGCCGCGACGGAAGGCCGATCCCCGCGCCTCCAGCCCCTTCCTACGATCCCAGCGACCCGCTAACCCCTACCCCCAACCCAACTCCGAGTCCCAGACCAACTCCGACCCCCGATCCTTACCCCGATCCTGACCCCGGGCCTGATCCCGGACCTCTTCCGGAATATCCGGATGATCCCCAGCCTAACCCCACGAGCCCCGGGTATTTTAGCGTGACGCGATTCGGCGCGCAGACGAACGGATGGGGGGACGCGTCGGGGCCTTTCAGACGCGCCTTCGCCGCGGCGTGCGGGTACGGCGCGCGGACGAGGCAGCGAGCCATGGTGCACGTGCCGGGGAACGCGGTGTTCCGGATATTCCCGATGGAAATTCAAGGGCCATGCGGCGCTGGGTTGATCGTTCGGGTGAGTTTAGAGAGTCACCCGTTGACTCATTTTCAGAAGTAACTTACGCGCAAACTTGTAAAGTGCGGAAGAGGAAGTTAAAAAATTATCCCCACTTTTTCCCACTTTGGCGCAGATTGATGGGGCAATTCAAGCGTTTTTCAACACAGCCGTGTATCCGCGACCTGAGAGCAGCAAGACGTGGGCGATGCTTGGATTTGACGGAATCGACAACCTCGTCGTCGCGGGGACGGGCTATTTGGACGGTGCGGGGCGCGCGTGGTGGGGCCAGGGGAAACGCCCCATGCTCATGCATTTCTCGGATTGCCGAAACTTGCTTATATCGGGGATCACCTACAGGTCAGTGTGTGCTGCTTTTATGCTCATGTGCTTCCTTTACTCACAGCATAAAACGATATTGTTTATTCATAACTCCCAAGTCCCCCAAGTCCGTTCTTCCTTCCCCAACTCTCCCTTCACAAGAGTGGCAACAAATCTATTGTGCATATTATGCTTATAACAGTGCATGCCCTATGCACTCTAAAGTACCTCCATTGCTGCATATTTTTTACACATTTTCCCTAAAGCACTGCAAATCACTGCATCATCAGTCGGTTACTGTCCTTTGCATATCCAGTGCATGGCTTGTGCACTGTTACTGTGGAAATTTTTTTGCATTGCGAAAGAATGCGTGTTCACTCTGGTTGTTGATGCGTTATCTGTTGTAATCGTGTGCATCTCTTGTGCACTACAAATTGATAGATCTCGATGCTGTGAGTGTCAGTGCATTGCTTATGCACTGTATATGTTGGTGCATACTTCATGCATCATGGTTTCCTGTGCACATCATGTGCACCCTTCCTATGGCTCAAATCTCATGAGCTGGTGTGTGCCATTCCCTGTTCTTGCTTATGCTCTGTACGTTGGTGCATACCTCATGCACTCTGGCTTTGTGTGCACATCTTGTGCACCCTTCCTGTAGCTCAAATCTCATGAGCTGGTGTGTGCTTTTTCCTGTTCTTGTGCTGGCTGTTTCTCCTGTTTCTGTTTGTGGTGTTCCTGTTGGTGCTGCCATTTCTGCTGTTGCTGCTGCTGCTGTCTCTGTGTTCCTGAAAGGGATGCTGTGTGTGCTGCCATGGCATAGGATGGCATGATGACATGATGGCACAATGATGATAAAGTGGTGGCATGATGACATGATGACATCATGGCATGATTGCATGGTGACATGATGGCATGATAACATGATGGCATGGCGAGTGATGCTGGATGTTGTTCTGCTTGCATGTGTCTGTCTGTACCTCTCTCCTGCTGCGTTGCTACATGCATCCGCATGAATCCTGACATGCCATTATAAGCACAGGAATCCCGGCAAGATCCACCTCAAGGTGAAGGCCAGCACGGGGGTGATGATCCGGGGGGTGCGCACCCTAGCCCCTTGGAACAGCCCCAACACGGACAGCATCAGCATCAGCTCCTCTTCTAACGTGGTTGTCAAAGATTCGAGACTCGAATCAGGTATTTATACGCGCAGTGATTATGAGTCGGGTGATTCTATGCACCGTGCGAGTGTTTGTAGGCAGCACAGGGGGTGCGCACATTGGCTCCTTGGAACAGCCCCAACACAGACAGCATCAGCATCAGCATATGTGGTGATTATGAGACTGGTTACCAGCGTTACACGGGGGTGATTGTTGAGTCGACTTGAAAAGCAACATGGACAGCATCAGCATCAGCTCCTCCTCCAATGTGGTTGTCAAGGACTCGAGACTCGAATTAGGTGAATATCTACGTGGAGAATCGAGATTGTGAGTCAAATAATGATATGTGTGGATGACTTTGAGTTAGACAAACAAAAACAGAGACATCAGCCCCCTCTCTTACCTCGCTGTCTCTCTTACCTCTCTTCTCCGCCCCCCTCTCTCACCCCACTCCAGGCGATGATGGGGTGGGCATTGTGGGCATGACTCGCAACGTGCTTATGGAGAATGTCACATGCACCCCTCTCTCCCCCCTCTCACGTACCTCTCTTCTCCGCCCCCCTCTCACGGACCTATCTTCCCCCTCTCTCTTACCTCTCTCTTCTTTCCCAACTCCAGGTGATGATGGGGTGACCATTGTGGGCATGACTCCAACGTGCTTGTGGAGAACGTCGCATGCTTGTTTCAACCCCCCTCTCCTCTCCCCCCTTCTCCGCCTCGAAATCCTTGCCCCAGGTGATGATGGCGTGGCCATAGTGGGCATGACTCGCAACGTGCTTGTGGAGAATATCACATGCATCAACGGCCATGGCATCAGGTAAGAAAAACAACATCCACATGCAAAAAGTAGTAACTCATCTCTTAGATTATTTTGCTGCTATGAACTTTCTATGGGCCACCCCTTCAGCCTTTCAATCTCTCCCCATTTCTTCCAAATTGAATTCTCCCGAACCGAACCCCGCCTACGCTCTCAGCATTGGAAGCTTGGGGGCAGAAGGGGCGCTGGGGTGCATACAGGGTATTACAATCCGAGACGTGACCTTCCGGGGATCTAACAACGGCCTGCGCATCAAGACGTACCAAGGCGGCATGGGGCTCGTGTCCAATGTCTCATATGAGAACGTGCAAATGACAGATGTTACATATCCTATCGTCATTAACCAGGTGCGTATATATAACACTTGTTTTACAAAAGCCTTTGCATTGCAGATATACCGCAACACTGTTTTTCAAACTTCTCAACTCTGGTTATTTTCATTTGCACACCCATCTATCCATACTGTGCTTTCTGCATCCCTCCCCACAACAGTTCTACTGTGATACCAAGAACGTAGACGCCTCTAAATGTGTGCCGCAACAAAATGCTGTTGCCATTCAAGACATCTCCTACAACAATATCAGAGCGTCTTGTAATGGAACTGACGGCATTACCGTCGGCTGCAGCACTACAGTCCCATGCCGAGACATCACCCTCACGAATGTCCGTATCGTACCTTCAGACCCTGGCAAAACCCTCACTCCGTCATACACCAACGCATACGGGAGTTCGGGGGGGAATGTGTTCCCCCAACCCGTTGCCCCGTTGTACTTGCTAAGGTCAGGATTACCAGGTCCGGCTGGGAGGCTATCATTTTCTTCAGTTGCTTCGCAGTGCCATTCCGAAGTTTGGACCAGATATGAGCAAGACCTGAAGCAGCAGAGGTCGGTTCGGGTAGGGGGTGTTCGGAACTCTAGGGGATTAAGGCGAAACTAACAATGGACAGATAGGTTAGTATTTACATATTGACATGTGGCTAGCAGATATATACCAGAATGTCCTGCATGCCCTTTGTACATTAGTCTTACGAGGAAAAATGTGGTATATAATCAATTGAGTATTGAAATTGCTGAAATCTGGCGTATGCCTTGTTCCATTGGCTCTTCCAACTCCCACTGCGGGTCTTGTAGGGCAAATTTCCTGTGCAGGTTCGGGCAGAGTGAAAGCTCATGCATTTCTATGAAGAATGTTGGAAACAACTGATCTAAGCGCCTCTGTCGTGTCGAAAGACCAAGACAGAAGCGAAGCAGATCATATCGAAACATCAGCGAGTCAACCCTCGGAGGTTGAACAACTGCTGGAGGTTACGCAAAAGTCAAAGGTCAGCGACCTTTGACCTGACAAATGCAGCGCGACAGCAAGGACAAACAACGGTCTCGATACTGAGCAGTTGCCCGAGTCGACACTGTATCGAACCGCAACAGCAACAGTAAAACAGTTAGTAACCGTATCTCTTCATATTCTCTGTATTCTTATAAAAGCCTGTATCTCTTTACTTTAATTAATCAACTTTGCCCTCACACACCAGCGCAAGGTGGTTCACAAGTCTTTATTAAACGCTTCCGCTATTACATTGTCCTACCCTTGAATTCTGTCCTGCAAAGATCCTAAGGGCTTTTTCAACCCAACATGGTATGAGAGCAGTCAGGACAAATTCGACTACGATCAAGATATCTACAACACCACAAGACATGGCAACGCAGAAGGAGAGAAGTGTGAAGAAAGAAAACAGGAATGAGTGAGAATGGTGGAGCGGAAGTGAGGGGTTCACTAGCAAACATTGGGATACATATAGCAAACCCTAAAAGGGTTGTACTCACTATAGAGTACCCCACTGCAGACTAGAGAAACATAATATTCTGACACACCCCCATAGTCAAAGTGGGGTGTAATCAGCACAAGAGGCAAAGCAAAATAAGCTCAGGGTGGATCACAATGTCACCACACATTCTGAGCACACGCAACAGTTTAAAGTTCACAATTATAAGCCAAGCTAGAGGCTATCACAGAGGGCAAGTGAGGAGGAGGCGTGACTGTAAGAGGAGAGGAGATAGGAGGCGACGGCTAAAGCTGCAGACACACGGGCAACAGGAGTCACACTGGCACAGTAGCTACCGGAACAGCGCCCCGGACTACAGGAGTAACTGGCTCGGCGGCTAACTCTGAGCGGCAGGAGCAACGGACCCACGGGCGACTGGCGCAGCTGGCTACGACTGGGCTACCGGAGCAGCGCCCCGGACTACTGGTGCTGCTGACGACACGACGACCGCCTCCATTCAACCTCCCCCAACTGTCCCACCCCCCTTTCACACACCCCTTGCAGCACCTCTAACTCTGCTCACACGCCACACCCTAGCACCACTCCGTCAGCTCCCACACACCCACCCCCTAGCACCACTCCATCGGCTCCCACACACCCACCCCCCTCAGCGGCAGCTGCAGCAGTGGGAGACGGAGGAGGAGGAGGAGCAGGGGATTCCACACACCCGCCACCCCCTACTCGCCACCCCCAAACCCTAACACAGGGCAGGGCGGGATGGCGGGTAGGGAGGGTACTGGGGAGGGGGGGGGGGAGGCCGACGCGCGGCTGCCCAGGACGCCAACACAGGCGGCAGAAGGGGCGACGCCCGCCGCCCCCCCCCCCCCAGAGCGCGGCCCCCCAGGGCGCCGCGACGGGCGACGGGAAAAGAGGGGCGGGGGGGGCGGGGCGCGGGCCCCGGGTGCGCCGCGACATGGCCGGGTAGGGCCGGGGCAGGGTCGGGGCAGGGCCGGGGCAGGGCAGGGGCAGGACCGGGGCAGGGCCGGGGCAGGGTCTGCGCAGGGCCGCGGCAAGGCAGGGGCAGGGCCGGGGCAGGGGCCGCGACGGGAGGCCGCGACGGGGTGCCGCGACGGGGGCCGCGACGGGGGGGCGCGACGGGGGCCGCGACGGGGGGCCGCAACGTGGGGGGGGGCGCGACGGGGGCCGCGACGTGGGGCCGCGACGGGGCAGGGTCGGGCGACGGGGCAGGGCCGGGCGACGGGGCAGGGCCGGGGCTAGGTCGTGACGGGGCCGCGACAGGGCCGCGACGGGGTCGCGAATGGGGGGCCACGAAGGGCCGCGACAGGGTCGCGAAGGGGCCACAAAGGGCCGCGACAGGGTCGCTAAGGGGCCACGAAGGGCCGCGACAGGGTCGCTAAGGGGCCACGAAGGGGCCGTTAAGGGGCCGCGAAGGGGCCGCGAAGGGCGCTTCGGGCAGCAGGGCAGTAAAAAAAAGTTGAAGTGGTGGGCCCGAGGAAAGATCGAAACTAGCTCTATACCATGTGAAGAAAGAAAACAGGAATGAGTGAGAATGGTGGAGCGGAAGTGAGGGGTTCACTAGCAAACATTGGGATACATATAGCAAACCCTAAAAGGGTTGTACTCACTATAGAGTACCCCACTGCAGACTAGAGAAACATAATATTCTGACAAGAAGCTCTTCTAACGGCTCTCCCGGTACTACTCCTACTCCACCTCCTGCCTCTGGCCTACAGACAGAGGAGGGTACAGCAACAAGACCCAGAGCAACATCTTCAGAAACTCCAGCTAATCAAGCTGCGGCCTTCGATCCAGACATGATGGAGAAGTTCTTCTCCTTCATGTCCTTCTACGAACAACACCAGCAAGGGGCACCTGCACAGTCAAACAACAGCAACAACAACAACGCAACACCGATGAGCCTCGGTTCATCCTACGCACGTGGAAATCAACAGCAACGGCCTACCTTTGCTCCGTACGAGCCCCAGCGTGGCTCCGTCAGCTTTATGCCACACCCGCAGCCCGCATCTGGACAAGAAAAGACACTGGATGCATTTCAAGTTCAGTCGCAGTTCGCGCACGTCTTAAAACTGCAAACGACAAAGCCTTTCGACGGAAAGGACTTCTTTACCTGGTCATTCGAGTTCGAGCTTATGATGGAAGGCGCGCAGATCCTTGGATTCTTCGACGGGTCCCTGCCATATCCAACACACGGCACACAGTACGATAAGCAGCAGTACACGTATCAGTCAATGATGGCGTACACAATACTGCTGAGAAATATCACTCCAAGTCAGCAGCAGAACATATGGTCTTACCGGGGTTACGGCAACTCCGCAGAGCTCGCGTACAACCACCTGAAGAACCTGTATCAAGCAACAGACAGCGTAAATCAAAGTCGGTTAATGGCGCAACTGACGACAGTCGAAATGAAACCAGGCGAAAAAGGGATGGCATATATCAGCCTTTGTCGCGAATTGCGCGACAAGCTCCTTCGATGCGGAGGGTCGATTTCAGAAGACGCCTTCGTCACAGTCATCATCGGCGGCCTCGGTCCTCAGTGGCGCTCCACCCGCGCCATACTCCGAGCACATGGAAAGAAATCAGAAGCAGCACTCTGCGCCGAAATCCACGCTGAGCAGCAAGATATGGATCTGCAAGAAGAACGACACAAAAGGAAGACATCAGTGCCCGAATTCGCATTCCACACTCAACGGCGCTACAACAACAATAACTACCGGCATCAACCGAAACCAGTACCTCCGTTCTGTCACCTTTGTAAGACGTCAGGGCATTCCCGCACGCACTGCCCTAACCGACAACAGTCAGTACCAACACAGCGGCAGCTTCGGCCTTCAAGCAGTCAAGTTGCCTCAACGCAAGCGAATTCGACATCTCAAGTACAAGTCTCAACAACATCGACGGGACAACCTGCGCAAGGAACAAGAAACATCGTCAGTTGCATGACACGGCTGACCGATTCCTGTATCACAGAGTCACCACCATATTACTCACCGGAAGAGCAACTCGACAACAGCACGTCTCGCCGCGAGTCACTTCAACCAAATCCGACCTATGCAGCCATCGCTCAAAGCGAGCCGTCCGGAAAAGATACGTGGTTCTTGGACAGCTGCTGTGGACAGCATATGTGCTCTTCAGGACGTTTTGTTCAACGTGAACACCAACTTCAACGCGAGGTTGTCATCACCGTCGCCAACAATCAGAACCTGCGCACACGACGACAAGACGTAGTGCAACTTCAGTCACGAGAGACAAACGTCATACTGCAGATGTCAAAGATTTTAATAGCAGAAGGACTCGGTTACAACTTACTGAGTGTCAGTCAACTAATGGCGAAGGGCATCCACCTCGAAGCAAATAGTACCACTCAGGAGTTCAAGTTATACCACGGGAAAGGCGGTCTCTACATCGGGAAGGCGGTTCTGAAAAACAATGTTTTCGTCCTCGACTTCGTCCCAGATCTTGGCACCGCTGACAGCGACAGGATCGTCACCTTCACCTCCTGGACACATCCACCGGATCTTGACCCCGACTTCAGTCCAGAAGGCTTCTGGTACTCGCACACCATCCCTGAAGCAGAACGAACAAGAGCATTAGCAACAATCCAACACTCGACAGCAGCAGAAACAACATCGGCAGCAGCAAAAACAACATCGGCAGCAGCAAAAACAACATCGGCAGCAGCAGAAACAACAACAGCAGCAGCAGCAACATTGACACCAATCGCTGGTCCTTCAACTCCATCACCTCAAATCGATGACACTCCACCGACTTCTGCGCAACAGCTTCACCCAAAATCACGAGAAGTACATCGAAGTGCAAACTTCACCGCAAGCTTCTACTCCAACTCCGACTTGTATCGTCGCTCACCCGGACATCGCGCCAGCGAAGACATCTGGCACGCACGAATGGGACATCCAAGCAACACGGTGTTAAACAATACAATCCGAGCAGGCGTACTCGACAAAGATTCACTGCTTCTAACCGATGGAAGCGAACTTCGACGAGCACGTGGAACGTGCTTTACCTGCCCCGAAGCTGACTTACCACATCGGCCATTTACTTCTCACCACAACCCCAGCGCACCAGCTTACGCACCACTTGAGAAAGTGTACAGCGACATCCTGTACAATCGCGAACCCGGACAAGGAGCATACAGCTACACCATCACGTTCATCGATGCCGCTACACGTTACGTTTGGCATCTTAATCTCCCGAGCAAGGACATGGCCTTCGAAGCCTTCATCGCTTGGCTTCCAGTAGCAGAACGAGAATCGGGCGTGAAGCTCAAAAGCTTCCAGTCAGACGGAGGAGGAGAATACACCTCACAGAGGTTCAAGCAGTTCTTGGCAGAAAGGGGAATCAAGAGGCTCATCTCGCTTCCTTACGCCCATCAACAGCAAGG